GAGAGAGTGTCAAATTATCTCAAAACATTAGATTTTCCTGTTGGTTGCAATGTTAGGTAAAAGCCATTTGTCCAGAACATGTCTGCATTGTAAAAGTCATTCCTGAAATTATCAACTTTGTCTTCACAATATTGTTGAATTTATTCTGTTAAGGATTTAACTTAAAAAAAAAAGAACATTTTTTCAACTATGAGAATATATTTTCATAATATTGAATTGCATTCTGTATTTCCAGTTCTTCCACCTTAGTTATTTTCCATGCCTTCATAAACTTTTTTAAAGTTAATTTTATTTCTTTTTAGGTTGTCTTTCAAAATAATTTTTTTCATTTATTACTTATTTGTGTATATTGTGGGGGCTTGCACATGCTATAGCATACATGTGGAGGTCAGAGGACAACCTTCAGGAGTTAGTCTTATTCTGCTCTGTTGGTTTTAGGCATAGAGCTGAGGGCATTAGGCAAGGCAACAAAGGCCTTTAACCAGTGAGCTGTCTTGCTGGGCCTCAAATCCTATTTTCTTAATGATGAATTGTTATATAGAAAACTAACACTTGCCTGGCATAAGAGAATAAGACTCTGGGGCTGGGTACAGCATTTTAAAGGCACAGACCTCTTGGGTAATTCCCCCCAAACCTTGGGGGACAAGATTAGTAGGTAGATCAAGATGGTAGGTGTTATCTCTCAAACTTCACATTTGTAATTTTTCTTGGCACCTAAAGCCTAAACTACTTCTTTCCTGTTGTTTCATAGTTTTTAAGGACTTTCATGACTTTATTTCAAATTCTCTGAGTAAAATTCTTCAGGGGTTTTTTCCCCTCTCTTTCTGTCAACCAACTTCAATCATCATGTTTGAGAGTTTCTACTAGCCCCTGAATGACTATACTCCTGTTATGTGGTTTTCAAAATCAAGTTCTAAAACAGCACAGACTTGGCAGCTCAAACAGCCATGTATGTGAACTTTATAGTCTCTAAAGTTAGTTTTGCCAAATATTAAGTTGAAAATACTCATAAAATCACCTTACTAGGAAAGGTAAAAATCGAAAAAGGCTGAATCACACTCAGATCTTAGGAAAATTTGTTAATATGTCTATTGGAACTTTTTAATAATTTCCATTTCATTACTGTGAAGAGTAGAGCATAGCAGAAAGGACATAAAATAACAAAAAAAATGACTAAGATCCAACCACACCTCTGTTGCTTATCAAGTGTGAACTTGGACAGTTTTTAACATTAAATGGAAACTAAATGATAACATATGTCCCACTTGGTTGTTAGAAGGAATAAGTAAGATGACATATGTAATATAGGCATTAGGATCTCTGGCTAAAACTCAATGATAAATTCTTATTCATTGACATTTCCTGCCATTGTGTTTTTTCTATTTATCTGACCTTATTTTCACTATTCAATATCTATATTCTTCTTTACATATGAAAAAAATAGTTTTCAAGATGCTCAATATTAGTTGTGTTTTTTAAACCTCATAAGATTGAGTTATCAGGGGACTGGAAAGATGGCTCAGTGGTTAAGGCTGCTCTGCCAGAGGACCTGGGTTCAGTTTCCAGCACCTATATGGTGGCTAACAACCATCTGTAACTCCAGTTCCAGGATCTCTAACCCCCTCTCTGGCCTCTGCAGGCATTACATGCATGTGGTACACTTACATTCATACAGGCAAACATTCATACATACACATAAAATGAAAATAAATATGTACATAAAGATTGAAATAGCAGAGTCAGCCTTATCACATTAAAATTGGTCTGTCTGACTCTTCCCCACAAAAAAACTAAGGTGTTTTTCTTTAGAATTATTTTGCATACATGCAAATGTATTCCTTACAGTATTTGAAAGTGACTATAGGTTTTTGCAAAGCAAGCTGTTTCACTTCTATATACTAGTGTACCACAGGAAGACTTTAACTTATGTTCACATCTTGATGAAGAACGTGAAACATTGACAGTTTAGTGCCTCCTTGAGTCTTTGATTTCCCAAAGGCCATTTGCATTTAAAATCTAGCCTGTCCCTCTCTGTCTCTGAGTCTTGCTCTCCTCTGGTCTTGATGCACTCTCAGGCATGCTCTGCCCTTCTGGGACACAAAGCTGCCAGCAATTGAAAACTTAACTCCTTCTGTTCCAAATCCAATGGAAAAAGCAAACATGCCTTTCCTGGGTGGCTCGGCAATTATAACGAAAGGAAGGAAAGTAGATGCTGGAGAAGGAGAGCAGCAGGGATCTACCAGATGGCTTCATCAGAAAGTCTCAGCAGCCTAGCATGCAGAAAGGCCTAGGTTTTTCTGAGTAAGCCCTCCGTGCTTCCAGTTCAAAGAACTTGACACTCCTTAGCCCTAACTTCTCACCTGCAAGCCTTAGTTCATTCTCATGGTAATGCCTCCTGCTTACTAAAATCATTTCTATGAAACTTAAGTCAGAGATAACATTTTCCTTTATGTATGCCATGGTTTATTAATATACACTCACAGCAACTTATTATTTTTAACCTACAAATCATTTATGAATCTCCCAAGCCATATTATTTATGAATTAAAATAGCAGAACATCTTTTCAAAATAAATAAATAAATAAATAAATAAATTTTTTTGGTCTTTTTTGAGACAGGGTCTCCCTATAGCCCCAGCTGGCCCTGGAACTCACTTTGTAGACCAAGTTGGCCTTGAACTCACAGAGATCCACCTGCCTCTGCCTCCCAAGTGCTGGGATTAAAGTTGTGTGCCACCACGCCCAGCCAATTTACTAGAATTTTTAATGTTTATGTTATGATGAAAGCATTATTTCACATCAATAAGCACAGCCATATGCCATATAATGACATGTCAGTCAACACTAGGTTGCATGAGGTTGCATGAACTACAGTGGTCCCATAAGATTATTAGTTAGGACACAGTGCCTCATAACATATTGATCAGTTTGAGTCAGTCCCTTACATTCTTTTTAACTGATGCAATTCCTCGTTTATGTTAGGTTGTCTTTTATTGCTAACAGGTTTTGGGTCTTTAAAAAAAATGTATGGATAAGAAAAAGCAGGAACAAAAGTAGCTAAGTTATATTCAGTTTTTCCATGTGAGAAACAAAAAGATTAATATTCTTTTTCTTAAAAGATTTATTTTATTTTTAATTATGTACATATATGTATATATCGTGTACACGTATTAGTACAGGTGCCCACAGTACAGAAGAAAGTGTTGGATTCCCTGGAGCTGGAGTTACACGTCAGGAAGCTGCCTGATGTGGGTGCTAGGAACCAAACTCAGATCTTCTGCAAGAGCATTATTCATTCTTAATCACCGAGTCATCTCTCTAGCCCCAAGATTAATATTCTTAATAGCAGCATCATTTAAATGAATAAGAAAAGTTAAGTATTATGTAAAATATAGGCAAAGAATTGACTAGATTGAGCATTTAAAAAGAAACATGGTTATGATCACAAAAAATTACACTAGTGTTATCAATGTCATGTAAAATCAACATAATAGTTTTCAAGACGGCATCCCCTTTCTCTCAAAACATCACCCTGAAACATGGAAGATAAGAGATATAAACTCCCTGTTCAGCGAGACTAGACAGCATGCATAATTTTAAAGCATAATATATTAAGTCAGAAAGTGAATGAAGAAACAGCAGACAGGAAAAGGGTCAAAGCGAGTAGGGAAGATAGAGGGGCAAGTAACTCTATTCATTATTTCACCAGTAAAACTAGGAAATTTCTTAGGCACCAGTAGAAATCTGCTGGCAAATGTTTAACAACTAGTTATCAGGAAAAGCTGATAACAGTGTGCGGGAGCCTGTATGTTATACTATGTATATACATAGGTACATGTCATAAATGTTATGATATAAAGGAAGAATATTATATAGTATACAAATAATAACAAAATAGACAATGTGATTTGTTTAAAATTCCATATAGCCCATTCTTATGTCTAGTAGCCAATCTATTGTTGCAATTAGAGAGTGAGTACACCTTCAACCTAAATGCCGATTGATGTTTTCAGTTAACCAGTAAGCAAATGTAAGGTAATAAAGATGCATGTCAGAATTTCACTCATTTGTCAATGAGGTGAATAATTATTTTAGTGAGTTAGATAGTGACTATTGACTACAAATACTTTGCTAAGTTCTAGAAAAATATTTCCTCGATTTTATACTATTCACGATATGATAATTACAGAAATGACACATTTAAGTCTAAACTGCATAATCAGCATTTCCTCTATCACTTTCTCAATCTAAAAGGTCAACAAAACAATGAGTGAAGCCCAGATGCTTAATGTTCTCAGTTTCTATGAGGAAAAACATGCTTATCATCAGATCTGATTTCAACCTATCATTGTCTGGTCATTTATCTCTGCTGTGTTCCTGGTACCTAGAATAGAATTGGCATTCAACAAATATTTATTGAATGAAAAATAAAACACTAAACTTACTGCCAAGTGTCATGTTACACAGCTTTAATCCCAGCACCCTCGAGGCAGAGGCAGATGGTCTACATAGTGAGTTCCAGGATGTCTAGGTCTACGGGAGACCGTGTCTCAAAAACAAAACAAAACAAAACCAAAAGGACATTAAACATACTGTCTGCCAGACACTGTCCTAAGTGTTTCATGTGTGTTAGGCCTTAGATTCAGAAAGATTGTCAAAAACAAAAGTGTTCCGCCTATGAGAGTAGATATGAAAATTATATCACTTTTCTAAAATAATAGGTCCAATGGAAAAGTAATCTGTATCTGTAAAATCATGAAATGTGATGTAAAATTTATGTTAGATTATTCATAAAATCCAAAATATTAAAATGAAGGTTTACAAAGCTCAGAAAAGGTAATATACTTAAAACATCAAACACCTTAAAGCATTCGAGCAATGCAGGTTACATTTCTAACATTCTTATGTTGAAGATTCTCATCTCCTCATGCTTAGAATGGCTAGCTCTTCTATTTTGAAGATTTGTCTTAATTAACCATACCCTTTACTTTGTTTCTTAGGTACCAATAAAGGCCAGACGCCTTACTCAACAACTTCTCTACCACCACCACCTCCATCATCCCAGCCTGCCAGTCAGCCACCATTGCCAGCATCTCACCCAACACAACCACCAGTCCCAAGTCTACCTCCCAGAAACATTAAGCCTCCCCTTGACCTGAAGTAAGCAAAAAATAATTTTGCCATTTTTTTCACCAAAGTCTTGCCAGGAATTTTCAAACTATGCATGACTGAGTGCTGATGGTTCTATGGAAAACTTCTGGGGCATTTTAGTGGGCAATAGTCAGGGAGAAGGGTGGACTAAGCAGGCATCTCATATACTCTCATGCCCCTTTTGAGTCTGAGGAGCTCTTGTTTCTCTGTTTCGTGTTGGGTTTCTACTTAAGGGCTCACTTAAAGAAAATTTCTACTGCTTTTAAATTTTTTGCTGCTCCTTTGAGATTAGCAAACCACCTACATCTTCTCCACTATCACCACCACCACCATAATAATCACCAGGACCACCATTGTTTCCATTCTTGAAACCACCATTATCAGCATCCCCATGCCCACCACCCTCTACCCCAGCCACCATGTTTTACTTAGTGCCTGTGATTTCCTGGGCATCTTATATGCAATATCTATAAACTTATTAAGTGTACAGTATTTATTAGCATTTTATGGGTGTGAAAATGGAACTTTAGAAGGGAAACTTCTCCATGATCACATGATAGCTTGGAGGAGAAATTTAAACCAATGTCCATCTGACCTCAAAGTAAATATGTGCTTTAAGTCTATGCTAAACAGCATTTAGTGGATTTTAAAAATGTAAGTTTTGGACCTGGAGACATAGCTCGGAGGTTAAGAGCTCTGACTGCTCTTGCAAAGGATCTGGGTTTGATTCCCAGCACCCCACATAGCAGCTAACAACCATCCATAACTGCAGTCCCTAGGGAATTGGATGCTGTCTTCTGACCTCTGCAGCCATAGCACAACGTGGGTGCACTTACAGGCAATACACTCATACACATAAAATAAAAATAATAAATAAAATATTTTAAAATGTAAGTTTTATCTTTGGGCTATAATTAGCCATCTAAGAAACTTTTATTGAAGTGTAGTCTTGCTCAAGTTTTTTTAGGAGTTTCATTTATAAATGTCCTATCTCGGGGCTGGAGAGATGGCTTAGAGACTAAAAGCACAGATTGCTCTTGCAGAGGACCCGGGTTCAATTCCCAGCACCCACATAGCAACTAACAACTGTCCATAGCTCCAGTTCCAGGGTATCCAACACCCTCTTCTGACCTCCGCAGGCATTACATGACACAGGTGCACTTACACACATGCAGGCAATACACTCATACACATAAAAAATAATAATAAATAAAATTTTGGGGGGTCTTTTTGAGACAGGGTCTCCCTGTAGCCCCAGCTGTCCTGTAACTCACTATGTAGACCAGCCTGGCCTTGAACTCACAGAGATCCACCTGCCTCTGCCTCCCAAGTGCTGGGATTAAAGGTGTGTGCCACCACGCCTGGCAAATAAAATATTTTTAAATGGCATATCTCTATGGATTGCTATATATAGGTTGTTTATCCCTGACTTATCAAAATAGCTAGTTGAGGAAAAATTGAATGATTGTAGTAAAATAAAATATTTTAAAAAGCAATAGTCCAACAATAACAAGCACAGATTTTTATGGTAAAATATGTTAGATCTTTACATTCCTCTTTTAGAAAATTGTTTTACATTATTCTTCTTTCCCACAAACAAGTAATGCTCTGATATAATAGTATAATTTGATTTTACCTCAGTTCTCCTACCAAATTGATGGCCTATTGTCCATAATCCATAATAGTAAAATTTGTTAATAGCAAAAATCATGCTGAGCACTTTCCTTAAGTGTTTCATGGTTATAGTTTAGAGCAGTACTTGAAGACGCATTTATTATGAGTAACCATGACTATTTTTATTTCGTGATGCTTCTTGGGGGTTTAAAGTTAGTAGCTAAGGCTGCACAAGCAGCAAGCCTTTTGCACGTGAGCACCTTTGTGATGCCTGTTCACATTATGCCCTTCTAGCATCTGAGCCAGTGGCTGCTAACTAAAAGACTTAAATACCGTAGGAGAAGCTGCCACCAAAGGAAAGTGTAAGGCACCTGCCAACTAACATATTAAGGCTAAAGAAGCATTAGTCTAATTAAAATAGATAATATATGTACTAGTAAACACTTGCTTCCATGCAAATTATTTCTTTTCCCATGTGTAAAATAATGTTTCTTATCCTTAATTTTCTCCTTATTCTCATAAATTAAACCCATTCAATGTAGTTTTCAATACTCCTTTTTTGTCTATTTTTATTTTACTTCTTAGTTTTTTGTTGCTGTTTGAGCCAGGGTCTCATTGTGTATCCTTGGATGACCTAAAACTCACTATATAGCCCAGACTGGCCTCAGACTTGTGGAGATTTGCTGCCTCTGCTTCTGTTTCTGCCTCCTCTGCTTCTGTCTCCTCTGTCTCCTCCACCTCTGCCTTCAGTGCTGGGATTACAGGCAAGCACCACCATAGTGGACCCAAGATCTTAGCACTTCTAAACTTTGTTATATGGCCCTGCCTCAGGATGCACGTCAGCAAAGCCTCTGAATACGGCATAATTTTAGTGCAAAATCTAAACAACTCGAATGCGAATCCTGAAAATTGATTAGGTTTACTTCATTAAAGAAATAATGGAAGACTATTTGTCACTATTGCTGCTTTGGGACTCTTCCAGACCTCAGATATATCTGATGACTTACTGAAAGGACTCAGGTCTCAGTGTACAGTAATAGGAATGGCTGAGATTCACTAAGGTAACAAGAGGAGGGACAGGCAGGAGGTGAAAATAACCAAACTCAGGCCTCCACACAATTCCCTTTCAAGCCTAGGAAAGGTGCACAGCGGGAGGGTATAGATATAAAAAGGTAGTGTATGTCTCACACTGCTTCCCACAGACGCCCACTAGAGACAATGACCAAGTTTTCCACTGGAAGTTATCCCATAGGTTCCTTGGACCTAGCAATTGCCAGAAGACCAGAAACTTGGAATGAAAACAAGTGTTCACCTATGTCACATTGGTGACAGTCTCCACACAGCAAAACACTGTCATCAGATAGGCAATTTTTCCTGCAGTTGTAGAGAAAATGAGCTCCCATATACAAGCTCTGGGCCAACCTTAGTAGCACATGCTTCTAAAACAGCAAATTCAGGTCCGCTATGTTGATTCTTTCCTGAAAATCTGATCCTAGAATCCATCCGGACAAGTGAAGAGAATAAGTTGTAGACAGAAGAAAGATTTCACAAGCAATCCTAGGACATGGACTGCTTTCACAGGATGCTGTCCAGTTCCAGCTTTGCAAAGAATTCAAAGTTTTGCCTAAGAAGGCAAAGTTGAAAGGGTCTGCCAACCAGCCAGGCTTGAATTCTTACTGTTTATACCAGATATTGGTAGTGGTAAGCTTTGCCTCCTTTCTCATTCCATTTTATTAAGGACTGCTCATATGTGACTCATCTAAGATCTGCCAACTCCATAAAACACAGCCTGTTCGAAGAAAAATGAGAAGAAACAAGGGGCTTGGTTGTTGCATTGCCTGGATAATCTATGCCCAAAATATCTGAAGGTTAATTGTCATTTGCAGAAAAGAGAATGCATGAATGCTAAGGACATCTATAAGCTCCTTTGTCTTTTCAAAAGAGAAAATGTCAACATTTTTCAAGTTCCCATCAGTGAGCTCAAGTAAACTCCACAATGAGGAAATATCTAGGTCAGAAAATTTCCCCCAAGAAAGGGAAACTAGGTAAATACACAGAGGAAATGAAAGCACAGTGGTTCTTTATATTCAGGCCCAAAAGCTTGTATCTCACATGAAAAAGAAATCTATAGGTTGGATTTGGGGCAGAAAAGTGGGAGAGACCTGTGTCTGTTGCTTCTTACCATCACCCTTCAGAATGTCTTGATGGCCTCCGGAGTATCACTCTGCAGGCCTGTGCCTCCCCCTCTAATCAAATTCCACTCCCAAGGCAAGATCTGCTAGGTTTTTAAAATATTGTTTGACAGATATTTGAGTCATTCCTTTGCGTCTTTGTTATTGGAGTTTGGGGAACATCAGGCAAATATCAGATTCCCGCTTTTATGAAACAGGGACCAGAGAAAAAGGAAGAAAGATAATAAATAGGTAAATGAGACTGTAGTAGGTAGTAAGTATCAAATTCTGAGAGAACAAACAGAGCACAGTTAGCGGATAGAGCTGAGGGGTTATTGGGGACCTCATGTTGTTGCAGATTTGCACAGAGAAGTGAGATTAAAAGATGCAAGGAAATACAGGGGTTGGGGATGAAGCTGTGGTGTGAGGGGGGATTGTTCAAGGCAGAGAGCAGAAAGAACAGAGGTCCACAAAGGCAAGGCAGGAGGCTGCAGGGACTGGTCTAGAGGCAGCCAGGGGAGTAGTAGCAAAAGTCAGCTGATTTGGCTGGTCTGTGCATCATGACAAAGACCACAGCGTTCACCCAAAGTGAAATGAGAACCACGGAGGGGTTAGAGCACAGGAGTGAATTCTCTGACTTGTTTGTCATTTAAATCAGGTCAAGGAGGTGAGTGAATGCTAAAGCAGCAGCAGAATGAACTGAGCGCTGTGGAAATGTGCGCAAGGCATGGAGGAGGCATGCTGGCCAAGATGATAGCCAGTGCTGGAGATAGAGAGAAATATCTGCACTTGGCCACGTCCAGACTCTGGATAAATTTTGAGCGGAAAAAGAGTGGCCTTTGGATTGGTTATGTAAAACAATGAGAATCATGGGAGAGTCTAAGGTTTTTGGCCTGAGCAATTGAAAGGATGATGCTCCCTTCAAATGACAGAGAGAGGCTGCAGGTTTCACAGTTGAGGAAGATTAGGAGGTTACGACTATGTTTAGCTTGAGGTAGCTCTTAAAGTCCAACTGAAAAAATTAAGGAGGCAATTAAGATTAAGAAGCAGAGAATTCAGAGACAGTTTTGGGCTAATTAAGCAAGCTTGAGAGGCATAGGGGTATAGCACTCATGAAAGTGATGATTCCGATTAAGATGACTGAGAAAGGGAGGCAGGGAGGGAGGTGGGGAGAGAGGGAGGCAGGGAGGCAGGCAAGAAAAGACAAAACTTGAATCCTTTAGA